AGTTTAGACCGTAGCTCATATGTGTCAGAAGCCCTGAGCTCTGACCTCAACCCTTTAAGGCAATGGAATCCCAAACGGCTGGAACATTGGCCCAGCATGAAATAGGCTTTAATGTGTTCTTGCAAAATCCCGTGAAAATCACATGGGTTAGCCAAGAAGAAGGGGCACACTTTCCCTCTTTGGATCAAGCCAGAATGTGGTTAACATTTTTGTTCCCTCATCTTGGCAAATGCGAAGAACGAACACTCACTCATCCATTCCGATGAGACCGCAAAGGGAAGCTGAAGTTCTCACAGTTTTGAGCTTTGCGCAGTCCGCGTTCTACCGCTTCAGCCATGACGTTAGGAACTCAGATGGGAGTTTCGCAGCATGTTGAGCTGGGAGTGAATGTGAGATATACATGTGTATACACACAAGTAGAAGGACCGATGCTTCGAATCCAGACTCTCAAAGGCAATCCAAGTCTTGTAGAGACTCTCAGAACCTATGAGTGGTCACCTGGGTATGGTGGTAGAATAGACCGCCTGAAAGGAGCAGGGGCTTGGACGTAGGAAAGGCTACAGAAAGCAGTGGAGCCAGGGTGAAGCTATAGCCCCCCTAAAGTAGATAGNNTATGAGATGTATGGGGATCTTATTATAGTATACCCAAAGCCATATTCTATCTACTTAAGGGGGACTATAGATACAAGTCCAGAGCTGAGCACCTTCAGAAGAGAAGGGAGTACATGTAGTACATGGGTAGTTCCCCAAATTAGGGTCCCATCTTGATACCCCGAAATATTAAGTGCAATAATGTAATCTATGACCAAGAAGCGACCATAATTCTGAGAACAGCCCAAAAGTTCTGTGGGTACACATTCTGGAGTCGAACGAAAGCAGTCTTGTCATGAAACCAGAGTGCTTGGGACCGAGAAAATGGTTCAGGGTTTAGGGTGTAGGGTTCAGGGTCTAGGGTTCAGGGTTTAGGGTTCAGGGTTTAGGGTTCAGGGTTCAGGGTTTTTTGAAACAAGCCCTTGTTGTGCCATGATAAGCCCCTGTGTCATAGACCTTTCGCAAAGTCATTATGAGACCCAATAGTATATGAGCCATCGTCTAAACTCCTTAAAGGGGGTTATACAGGGGATTAAGGTTGCACACCTCCGTGTCAACCCTTTAAACCTGAACCCTAAATCCTAAATCCTATACCCTAAACCCTAACCCTGGCCTGGGAAGCTTCAAATGCTTGCTAGCAGTCCTCTCTTCCGGTCAACCTCACTTCCCGCACTCCCTATAAGTTCCAGATCTCGCATTGCAAAATCGTGGCTCATGATTTGTATTACCATTGCTAGTAGTATTCGTATCTTTATCATTACTATTACCGCTCTTCCTATATTATAGAACATGGCCTATCTACATGCTGTAGTCCTGCCTGCCGTGCACCTGGATGATCCCTCTAAACGTCTGAGCTCATTGGACGGTGTCATATGAGCTAGAGTCTAAACTCCTTAAAGGGAGGTTATATCAAGGATTCTAGGGGACTGTTCTCGGGGTTATGAAGGAGGATATTTGGAGTTTAGCCTATGGCTCATATGCGGAGGGGCATACCAATAGCTTGCACAGGTTCACTTTTTCAGCATGCAAATTGATGTACTTCCGTAGAGCTAGCTGTTGACCTTGGTTGTTGGTTAAAACGTGAATAGAGAGCTAGCTTTTACTCTCCCTGCTTGCTGACATAGGACCAGGTCAAGTGGAGAGCGGTGTCTGCATGCACGTTTTCGGGCAGGGAATTCTGCAGAAACGGTCCCCCTTAAGTAGATAGAATATGGTTTTTGGTATATTATAATGAGATCCCCATATGCCCCATATTCTATCTACTTAAGGAGGACTATAAGCCCTACTTTTTGTACGAGCTAGGAATCCTTAGGTAGAGGCTCAGATCTAAAGCAGAGTTTGCTCGGGCAGGCCCACTTCGCCCCAGGGGCCGCCACCTCCGCGACTTTGTTCATCAGACGGAAAATGCTTCACGGGCGCCTGCACTAGTCCATAGTAGTAATAGCAGTAATAAGAATACCAATAATAGTAGTAGTAGTAGCAGTAGTAGTAGTAGTATTATAATAGTAATAGTAATAATAGTATTAACAATAGCAACACTAGTAATAATAGGAGAGCATCATCACGTTCCCAGCGAAGCCACGCGCGGCAACTCGCAGCGCTTTGCGCAAGGCAAGCCCACAGAGAAAGCCTAAAAGCCCGTTGCGTGTAGGAAGCCTAAACCGTCCTCGGAGCCATGATGCACCGAATGCTCGCAGTAGTGGCTTGGCAGCATGTGTGCTGGAGACTAGATTTCGGTTGGGGAGGGACTTATAGGGGAAGATAGAGGGTTTTGGGGCGGGATATATAGGCTTTTGGGGCGGGACTTATTAAGGGATCTACTACAAATATGGTCCAGGGCTCATGTGGATTCAGACTGTTCCATCCCCCATAGGCAGCCTTTATTCTGCATTCTCTGGGCCCCGGATTAATGGATTGGGGTTATATGGGGATAACGGGAAAGAAAATTGGAAACTACTATGGTATATTGGGGCTATTTAGGGATAATGGAAAAGAAGATGGAAACTACTATAGTATATTGGGGCTATTTAGGGATAATGGAAAAGAAAATGGAAGCTTCTACAGTATCGATGTCTATGTTGCAGAGTGGCTTCCATTTTTTTCCCCATTGCTGCGATGCTGCAGGTCTTTCTCGCTGCAGCACGAGCACAGAACTGCGAGGACGGCCAGACGTGCAGCCCACAACATGTCAGTCCCAACGACATGGGCATCCTGATGCAGATGAAGTCAGGGTCAGCGTCGGTGTCCCACGCCCATGCCCACGCAAATTCATCCAGCATCGGAACCTATGTGGAGCAAGTGGTAAACAAAGTGACTGCACTCGGTGGCAGCCACCAGGGCAACGTGGAGCTTGCCAAGGAGGAAGTCCGTAAGCTGGCCCTCCAGTTAGCTGCAGATCCTGGGTTGTCCTTTGGGATCTTTCTTACTTTCCCCTACTATTTTGTAGAGAGCCATAATAGTAACTAATAATAATAGGAATAGTTTAATAAGAATCATGATTTTCAAAGGGCTTAAAGGACAACCCAGGATCCCAACTATACTGTCTTCAACATGAGCCAGTCCGGCATGCAGCAAGCCTTCCAGAGGATCATCGATGAGATGGAAGAAGTCATCAACGACACTTTGGTATCCTTGGACAAGGACCACAAGGAGTTTGACATCATGATTGCCAACATCCGCAAGTGCGGGCTGAACCTAGCTGCCAGCAACGTCAGCGTGACCGAGATGAGCCCTGCCGTAATGCAGCTCGGGTTGAACCACGATGTGTGCCGAAACGTCTCGGTGGCACTACGAGACGCGAACCATAGCGCACAGGTGAACTACTACGGGCACATGACCAACGCCAACATCCCCGACTGCGCACAGAACTTCGCGCCGGGCACTTGCCCTGCCACGCAGGACGAGAGTGGGCTTGGTGGAGAGTGGGTTATCCCTTTTCAACTGAGCAGTAGTTTATGTGAGGGCAATATGATATCCAATATCGAGTAAGATTACATCCTGTTTTGGGTATAGTAGTTTATGTCTCTCCTGGTGCAACCGTCATCTCCCTGGTTTCTTGCAGGACTACTCGCTGGAAGCTTTCTACGACAACGCCATTGCCTGCGCCGCCTCAGTGGATGCCTGGGCTGGGCCTTTTCATACAACGGCCACCTCCCTGCGATCTACCCACGAGGCACACATACTTTAATGTATTATAATATGTCTCAATATACTATACTATAGTATAATATACTGAGACTTACTAGAATATACTTTAATATACATTGCGAGAGCTCCTGCCACTGCTCCTGCTTTTGCTGCTGCTTTTGATACTCTGCTGAAAGTCCTACTATTGTCGTTAGCATTTGGATTAGTATCATTGCTCTGAGGCAGCGGAACGTGCTGTCATTGCCAAGTACCAGGAGTGTGACCAAGCACAGCTGACGTACGAGCTGGGCTTCTGCACTTACCGTACCGAGCTGATTGATGCATGCTCGGCGCTGGATAATTGCTACTCCAGTGCAGTGGATGTGTTCCAGAAGACCAAAGAGCTGATCCTCAAGTCCAATACCAGCCGGCATGTGGCCTTCATTGCGGCCAGGCAGGTGCAGTGCTATGTCCGCGTGCTGCAAACGGACAACTTGACCATGGCGGCTATTGAGGCCTGTGACTTCACCAAGGTCGATACCTCACCGCTGAAGTTGACCGTGCCAAGTGTGCCGGGCAAGCCCGCTTGTGACGTGTCCCTGGTGGCTCAGCACCCTTGCGGTGCTGCTTGGGTGGCCAAGCACTACCAGGACAGCTCCAAGTACTGGGTGGCCCAGAAGATGAATCACCGCACATGTCCCGGGCTCAGTGTAGTTTAGGGTTTAGGCTGTAGGGTAGCCGCATCAGCTCTTTTAAAGGACCCTAAGCCCTAAATCCTTAACCCTAAACCCTAAATCCTAAACCCTAAACCCTAAATCCTAAACCCTAAACCCTAGTTTCTGGGTGGAATGCATCCTGATGAAGCTGCAGGCATGCCATGCCTCGACCAGGGCGGGACCCTGCAGATCGACCAAATCCTGCCGATTCTCGAGAGTCAGGGCCTTGCACTCCCAAGTGGGTTTAGGGTTTAGGGTTTAGGCTTTTGGGGTTTAGGGTTTAGGGTTTGGGGTTTGGGGTTTAGGGTTTAGGGTTAGCTGAGAATGAGGGGGTACCCCAATAATGGAGAATCAAATGGAAAAGCGCATAGACAATGCGGGGGGAGGGTATATAGCGGGATTACTTACCTTTGGCTATCTGAAGGAATGGAAAAGACAATGTAAGCTACTATAATGGGTTATACAAGTTTAGGAGGAATGGAAAAGAGCACGGAAACTATTATAATGGTTTACAAAGGAACTACTACAAGGATCCACTCCTTCGAATTCCTAGCTAACTGAAGGTAAGACCATGATACTCCCGGATTCCCTACTACACACTGCCATATATACCCTAATAGTTTCCATATTCTTTTCCATTATCCCTATATTTCCTGCTAACCAAAGGTACGTCTGAAGTGCTTGCACTAAACCCCAAACCCTAGACCCCAAACCCTAAACCCCAAACCCTAAACCCTAGACCCCAAACCCTAAACCCCAAAACCCTAAAATTGAGGTGCCAGACCTGAGGAAGCAGGAAATTCCTTTGCATAGTCCAGCCCGGGCCCCGGCGGGTGTGAGTCGTTGGGTTTAGGGTGTAGGGCTTAGGGTTTAGGACTTAGAGTTTACGCAGGGGTTAGGGCTTAGGGTTTAGGCTTAGGGTATATTGGGAGTATATAGGGATAATGGAAAAATGGAAGCTACTATTATAGGTTTGGAGACCAGATTCTAGGGTTTAGGGTTTAAACCCTAAACCCCACACCCAAAATTTAGGGTTCATCGCTCTAAGGTCCAGCCCCCCTGGGCAGGGGAGTGTTCACGGATCGGACATAATTGGCGATGGAAGCCGCTGCAAGTCTTGTTCCGGAGTGCCGATAATTAGCGCGCTTCAAGAAGGGTACGTTTTGCCCCCCCGAGCCGTGGTGCTTGCATTCCATCCCTGCATCGCGGTGGGGTGGCCTGTATCTCTCCGAAATTGCCCTGTCTGAGCAAATTTGCCCAGTCAGGGTGCCGTTCCAGGTACAACACCTGACCTGCAGCCAATGGCAGCACGGTCTTGGCGCCAAACGGGAGTTTTATGAATCACTACAAGTAGAAACGACCTCTGCAATCATTTGAGCTCGATACTCCCTAACCCTTAACCCTCATGCGGCCCTAAACCCTAAACCCATGCGGTCCTGCAGTGTCTATCGCTGTTTCAAAGGCAGGCCAAGTAAGGGTAAGAAGCCTCCCAACAACTTTGGTAATTCCCACAGTTTCAGAGCCTAATGCAGACCCCTAACTGAGAAACCCCCTTCCTTAATGGGGGTTAGGATAGGGATCCTAATATTAAGGCCCTTTAAAGAAGGAGGTTCAGTAATCATGGGTCCCAAAACCCTAAACCCCAACACCCTAAATTGTAGTTTCCATTTTCTTTTCCATTATCCCTATATCACCCCAATATATACCCTATAACCCCGTATTTCATTAATCAGGGGGCTACATTGTGGATCAACCTCGGCTCCACTTGTTGGGTTGCTTGGTTTTGTGCGCAGTGAGTGAGGATGGCTACTATTTGGCAGAGCACAAACTGTGAATATGCCGCGTTGCCCAACACATGGGTAGTTCTCAAGATTAAGGTCCCACTCTGATGCCCCTGTATCAGGTGCCGTAAACATAGTCTACAGCCAAACGAGGCCCATACTTTTGAGAACAACCCACATGTTTGCTACGACGCTTGCATTTTGGCTCCCAGAAGAGCCACGTGTCTCAGAATATGCTACTGTAGGCTGCAGGTAGAAAGCAGGGTCAACCTGCAAAGCTCTCGCAAAAGGGTCAATATCCGAAACCGACATGGTAACCATATCCTGAGGGCCCGTAAGCTGAAGACTTCTTCCACACAAAGAATACCAAACCCTGTACTAACGATATGGGATTTAGGGTTTAGGGTTGGGTCCTCATTATCATCGCGACATTTGCATACTGATAGTATCATTGGCGTTTCTTTATTCCCACCACTACCCTGCCTCCCCATGACTGAGTGAACTTAACCCTAAACCCTAAACCCTCACTACCCTGCCTCCCCATGACTGAGTGAACTTTACCTCAGACGTGCACCTTTGGTCAGGACAAGCTGGCGACAATCTGAATCAAATCCGAAGAGCGTTGAACCCTTTAGTTGATCCATGGTTCTTGGTGGGTACAGGGATTGACACTAGCTTGCGCTAGATGGGCTTGGGCTTTAAGTCAAGAATGAGTATGCGGGCAAATTACGCAAAAATCTCCGAAGCTTGAGGGCCTAAATCCAGGAGGGACCTTTAACGCAATGGGCTGATGACTTCATGGCCTGCTCTACCAGGGCATGCATTGCATCGAACCTGCTGTCCCTGATTTTGGGGCTTCTCCTCAGTCAAAGTTGGCCCTGTATCACGATTCTTGAGACGAAGGCAAGTCAGCTGAGACCACCAGAACTATCAGCATCCCTGCTCAATCACTGGCTTGCTGTTAAGGAGCTTAAACTAAGTTACTACAACACAGAAACCTTCTTCTTTACTATAGTTCCATGATATGATAACTCAATTTAAGTTCCCTAAAAAGGCTCAGATTAGTAGTGAGGTGTTGACGCCTCTTGATCTCTCCGCTGTCCTTAGTGCAAGGTTTGAACTCCAGCTGGGCTAGGTGGTGCTGCACCAATTTCTGGGTCTCCCGATCCTATCACTGAACTTGAGCGGTAAAAATGATGTAGCCTTCCCTGGCACCTTGAGTCCACAGTTGCGGCTTTGTGGTGCTCAGCCAGGAATCTGGACCACTTTCCATCAGTGCCGAAAAGCCTGTGGAGGCTTCTGCAAGCCAACCGCAACTCCCTCGACTTGGGGAAGTTGCCGAAGCCCCTCTTGCACAGACCTCGCCCTTAGAGCCCTCTCCCAAAGACACTGGAGCCTCCTTCGGATCGTTTTTTCTTTTTCTGTTGCGGTACAGGGCTCCAGGAAACACATAGACAAGGAGAGTGGTATGGGCATTTGAAGTCTTTAGTAGGAGCTTCAAGAATTCATCAAGATGATGTTTTATCAAGCATTTACGGGAACTGCAGGAAGTGGTGACCAAGCGCGGTGTCTCCTGGCGCTGTCTGAATAGCAAGTGCTCCAAAGTCAGGAGGAGACTCAAATGCATAGGGAGCAAGCTCCTATGAGCTCTTTTGGTGGGCTAAAGTGGGGTAATATTGGGGATAATGGAAAAGAAAATGGAAACTACTATATTATAGGGGTTATATTAGGGTTATATTAGGGGTATATTAGGGTAATATTGGGGATACTGGAAAATAAAGTGGAAACTACTATAGGGTTGAGGGTATAGGGCCCGATGCCAATCCAAACCCCTGGAAGGCTAAACCACACCCTGTTCCATCCCTGAACGCTCCGTGCAGAGATCCCGGCTTAGTCCCAACTCCTCAACACTCTAAATCAGCAAACCTGCACACACCACATTGAATATGGATGCTACCCCAGTTCGACAAATTTGGATAATAAGCATATTCATATTTGACCCCGATGATGAACTGTTGCTCGGTGGCGCGGTACCCAGCATTCAGCTTAAATATAGTAGCTTTCATGTTCTTTTCCATGATCCTTATATAACCCCCATATACTATAGTAGTTTCCATTTCGTTTTCCATTATCCCTAAATAGCCCCAAGATACTATAGTAGCTTCCATTTTTCTCCATTATCCCTATAGAACCCCAATATACCACCCCTAGAAACCCTATGCGCCAAGGAGATGCAAGAGGGACTTTTTCAACCCCAGGTGTCTTGGATCGGAGTTTGTCGGGATTTGAGGTGGTTTCCATGAAGATGGGGACCCCAATATGGACCCCAACATACCAGAATCCTTAGTGATGGGACCACCATGAAGCTGTGAGAGAAGGGACCCCTAATTTATGGAAACCCGCATGTTGCGTGGGTGTTTTCGGGATGTTAGGCTAAGGAGTGGGAGAGCCCTATGATCTGGAGCTGTAGGGTCCATCCTCAACATGAGCTGTAGTCTAAACTCCCTAAAGGGGGCGTGAGATGTGGGATTATATAGGGGAGCATTCGAGGGCTTATTAAGAGGGGATACTAGGAGGTTAGACTATGGCTCCAAGGTGGGGGTCCTCCTTTTGGCCAGCCTAATGGCAACTCTCCTTTCTTTTTTTTCAGGCCTGTGTGGTTTCTCAGAAGCATAGATATGATCTACCCTTATGAGGTTTTAGGCTTGCTTTGCACCCTGGACCAGCTCTAAAAGCCACGGGTTAGTGGGGAATAAGGGAAAACCAAACCCCAAAAAAACAACTATATATATAGATATAATATACACATACGATTATAGATGGATATTGTATTCCCTTATTCCCGACGAACAACCAGTAAGTTAAACTGTAACATTTGCATTTGACTACGTAACTTCCAAACCACTATCCCTCCTCTTTCCTGCTTTGGAGAAGGACTTTAGGGTTTAGAGATACAGGGTTTAGGGTTCAGAGTCTTTCCTGCTTTGGAGAAGGAATTCCAGATGCCCGTCGGACGACTGGTTGAAGAGCATGGCTCTGGCGGACCCTGATCCGGACAAGATTCTGCTAAACATCGGCTGCAACAAGGCGAATTTGTGGTTTCTGCCTTTCTTCCGCCTTGGGCTTGCTGTGAAAAAGTAGCAATGACAATAAGAATGAATAATAGTAATAGAATATTAGCAATAGGAATAATAATGATCTCAATGATATTTATGGTGTTGCTGGTATACTGTTCCAGTTGGAGGCTGATTTAAGCCAAGGCTTCCGTACCCTTCACGTTTGAAAAAAAAACAGCATCTGCAGCATTGTATCAGTGATCATCAAATCAGTGACCCGTCTTGCTTCAGGCACTAATTATAGGAGTTGTATGGGGATTATATGGGGAGTAGAAAACCCTAAAGCCTAAACCCAAAGACAAACCCCAAGTTCTAGACTGAGCTGTGAAAGAGGGACACGACTCCATCGCTTGGCTCCAGCTATTCGATCCGCAGAAGCAGTGGAGCTTGGAAAAGTGGAGTCAAGCGGTTCCCAAAGGACAGTTGGGTTGGGGGGCTTGGAGATTTTAAAGCTTCCTGCGTTGAGGGATTTCGTGTGTAGGCATTTTGGGCTGAGGCTTTTTTTCGAGTTTAGAGGGTTTCCACAGAGAGGTTTAGGTCAAGTCTGGAGTGTGCCATGCCAAAGATTCTAATTCATTCCGTGTCCTTACGTTGGTCAGTGTGGGTGGTGTCATCATGCAGGGCTCCAATACTGAAGGCCATGCAACCCCCAAAAATCGAGACCTTGAGCTGTCATAGGATAGAAGTTGGTTTGGCGTTTAGGGTTTAGGATAGAAATTGATCTCTCAATTTGGGATCTTCGATACAAGATACCTAAACCCTAAACCCTGAACCCTAAACCCTAAACCCTGAACCCTAAACCCTGAACCCTAAACCCTGAACCCTAAACCCTAAACCCTGAACCCTAAACCCTAAACCCCCAGGCGTCTGCAAGCTGGACACACAGCTTCCGTCGCCGCCGTCTGCATCGCAAAAATCCCAGGGGCCCATTGCAGTGTGCGTCCAGGCTGAGTTTTGCCAAGGTTTGGGATGAAGGATTTTTCAAGTAGGGGGAATATAGCGTATATGTTGAGGTTCTATAGGGATAATGGAAAGGAAAATTGAAACTACTATTTAGGATTTAGGGCTTACTTTAGGGTTTAGGCTTCAAGGTCAATTGTGGGTTGATCTCTTCCCGAAAGGTGCTCAGCGCCTCCTCGGTTATGTAAGACATTTCCTAGCGTGTCGCATTTTTTTGCTTGTCAGGTAGCTCATTTGTCTCAGGGGAGGGGCCGTGCTCATGTAAGAGGAGAAATTGGGTATGCAAGCTTCAGAGCTTCAGTGCTGATAGGCTCATTACTCAGTAGCACTCATGCAAACCTCGCAGAAGAACTTCGGCAATTGCGCAAACAGGGAGCTGCGCCAAAACGCTGGGAACCATACAAAATGCTCGATACCATACTGCAGATGTTCGGCAGTTGCGCATAGCGGAAGCTGCGCCAAAACGCTGAGAAACATGGTATCCTCAGTCCAGTGTGCTCCTGTTTGAAAATGGCTTTTGATAGTTTTGTTCAATAAACACCAAACAATGCATCCTTACACGGTATCCACAATCCTTCATCCGTGAATGTGCCAGAGAAGCAGGCATCAACAAAACATCAGTGTTTTTGAGACACGGCCAGGAGTCAGGAGTTCTTGTAGTATCATTATATATTACGCACTGGTCCTTATTCGGGAATAAGGGAATATAGTATTCGGGTTCGCTCGCTACCACCAATAAGAAAATCTGAGCCAGAAAGCCGGTTAGGGTGGAGAACCGACGTGAGTCGTCTTTTCTTTGGGGATACTATGGCACCCAATATAGCGTAAGATTCCTTTCGGGTATGGTATTTATTCTATATTTCTGTGGGGGATACTATAGTACCCAACAAGATGTAAATTACACCCTCCTTTTGGGGTATGGTATTTGATAGAACCGAGGTGTAGAGGCTGCACCGAACAACGCAGCACGGCCTGTCCATGGGTAGTTGTTTTTTCTATTCTTATGGGGGGGGGGGGGTATTATATAGGGGTTCTATATAAGGCTATATAGGGGTTTCATAGGGTTATATAGGGACACTGCAAAGAAAATACAAGATACCATTCCGGGTTTAGGGTTTCGGGCTTAGGTTTCCCGATAGTCATGATGAGAATGATGAAAACATAGTACCTTCCATGTTCTTTTGCATTGTTCCAATATAACCCCCCTAGATACCCTGGTATCATTTAGTAGTCCCCATTATCTTTTCCATTATTCCAATATAGCCCCTTCATAACCCCAGTATATTATAGGGGAGAAGTCTAAGGCTTAGGCTCTGGGATTTAGACAGGAGGAGGCTGAGCATTCATCTTTCTGAAGGGAAAATACATTCGCATGTTGGTGGGTTAGAAAACGCTTACGGTTTAAGGTTTAGGGCTCTTGAGTTTGTATGCAAGTTCTGCGGAGGTTTGAATGACATCAGGAGTCTATTACTGAGCCTAAACCTAGAACGCCCTAAAACCCTAAACCCTAAAACCCTTAACCCTAAAACCCAGCACCAGGCAAAACTGCTCATGGAAAAGCGACGGCAGTTTGGGTACGACAGCCAGGGCGACCCAGGATCTGGGTCTTTTCAAGTGATCCACGCTGCTGCGGCGGACGCCTGGCTCGAAGGGTTGAGGGTTTAGAGTTTAGGATTTAGGGTTTAGGGTTCTTTGGGTTTTGGGGGTTTTAGGGTTTAGGCTTTTAGGGTTTAGGGTTTTAGGGTTTTTGGGGTTTGGGGGGTTTAGGGTTTTAGAGTTTTAGGGTCTAGGGTTTAGGGTGGGTGTGGGAGGGGAAAAGGGGTGGGGGAGGTTCTGACATGCCAAGATTGAAGAAGATGAAGTTGTGGTTCTCTACGATGGAATACTGGGGTTTTATGGGGTATATATCGCGGTTATATAGGGATTATATTGAGGTAATTGGGAGGAGTCACATGTACATGTTGTTGCACTTGTGTCGGAGATTTTGATTTGTGGTTCTCGGGTTCTGCCCCAACGCATCTCTAGCCAGCTCTAATGCCGAAACCACAATTTGACAAGGCAGCATCATTGAGCCTTAGCCTCAAAAGCATCAGGTTTCATCCCTGGGCCATACAACTCTTTAAAGGGGATATATAGGGATATATAGGGTTAGGGTTTAGGATTTAGAGGGTTTAGGGTTTAGGGTTAAGGATTTTGAAAGACTTCCCGGTAGTCAGCCCTCCACTGAGTAAGGATGAAGCGGCACCTGGAGAGACGATCGGCTTTCCAGACGCCCCGGAGGGAAATGAGCGGGCTGGCTGCTAGCTTGGATTGGATTATATAGGGTTTAGGGTTAAGGTTCAGGGTTTTGTCTAGGGTTTAGGGTTTAGGCTTTCGTTTTTTCTCATTCTTATGATCATCGTGATTAAAACTGTTGTGATTATAAGAACTACTGACTTGATCATTCTGGTTTGTAGGGCCTCTGTTCAGCAGAAATCCCAAACCCTAAACTCTACTCATATAATATGGAATATAATCCTTATATAACCCCTATATATACACATATATAAAAAAAAATCCCCTGTTCCCTAATACGCCCCAGTGGAAGACCGATCAGTGGAGGTTTGGCTTTCAAGAAAGACTGGGGGCTCGCACCTAGGTTCCAGTTAGGCAATGACTTTGAATGGTCGCGGGTTAGGGCTTAAGGGTTTAGGGTTTGGGGTTTGGGTTTAGGATTTATGGTTTAGGGTTTAGGGTTTAAGTTGGGTTGATGCACAGGAACTTCAATTAAGTTGCTATGATAAGGGAAGCCTGGTAGTTACTATACACCATTATACACCCATGTTTTGGCAACTTACATTAAGTTCCCTAACAGCGACCCAGTAGGCTTTAGTTGAGTGCGCAGGGTGAAAGGAAGTCAGAAAATTGGTGAAGCAACTGCACCCTAAACCCTAAGCCTTGGGTACTGCACCCACCCAGTAACAGTTTATATTAGGGGTCCTATTAAGGGCTATATATACCCTTATCATAATAATTATCCAACTGTTACTCAGTGGGGGCAGTACCCAACCTAAACCCTGAACCCGTGCGGAAAACCTTGCCTATTTCTTGCCCCCTGCAGTACATGAGAGATCCAGGTGCAGGTGCCCAAGGAAACTGTGGACACTCTGGTGGAAAAGCTGAAGCTGCCGAGGGTTTCTCAGCTTTTCTCTGGAGAACTCGACTTGTTTTGTTCCGTTGTCCGAATCCTTACTAGGTTTTTGGGGTATCAGGTTGAAGGTGGTATACATATTGTAATTCCCATTACCTTTTCTTATCCCTCTATGGCCCAAATATACCCTAAACCCTAAACCCTCAACCCTGCACTATAGTAGTTTCCATTTTCCTTTCCATTGTCCCTATATGGCGCGAACATACTATGGGTAAATCCCTAGATTCCCCCAGTTTCCATTTCATTTTCCATGTTCTTTTTCATTTGATTCTCCATATTGGGGGGGATAACAAACCCTAAACCCTACCGAGGTGGATGCCATGCTGGTGGATACTGAAGGGGCAGATCCTGCAGTTCTTCGAGGATCAAGGAAGACTTTGAAGACCGTGGCTTGGTCCATGAGATATACGAAGCATTTAGGAGTTTAGGGGTTTAGGAGTTTAGGGGTTTAGGGTTTAGGGGTTTAGGGTTTAAGGGTTTAAGGGTTAAGGGGTTTGGGGTTTAGGTACTAGGGCTCAGGGGCTTAGCTCAGGCCCCGAACCCCCAAGGGGTGCGGCAGATGGTTTCCTTCCTGTGCCTGGAAACTCTCTTCAGGCATGAACCACTTACAAGTATTCCGATAGAAGGATGTTCAAATCGAACCCCATATACAGTAGTTTCCATTTGGCCTGCGATGTCTTGTTGTATTTGATTTTCCGGTATTGGGGGGGGCTACTACACCTACATTCCTCCTCGAATCCCCTATGTGTGTTTTTGGGGAGTGGGATTAACTGGGTGGCAGATGATGTAGACATCTGTGGCCTTGCGACGCAGACAAGGAGGAACACTGACCAAGCCACCTGACCGAGATACACTCTAGTTAACCTTGGGTATCGCATTGGGTACTACATTGGGTACTAATTATATGGGTTCAGGGTTTGGGGTTGGGTACCGCCCCGACTCTGTAACAGTTGATAATATTCATAACATGGTTATATATAAGGACCTTAATATGACCCCTCTTCTAGTCTGGTACAGGGTTGGGACAGTACCCAGCCCACAGTAAGCCCATGCTTGGCCTCCGTAGCCCCCTTCAAAAACAGTCTTGGCGGTAGAGGCGTACTTACTAACTGGTCCTCAGTAGGGAATACGGAAACATATTGTATAGGGAGTGTAGTCCTTTGTTCCCTATAAAGAACCAGTAAGCTTAGGGCTCAGGAGTTGCGCTGACCCCTCGGAGTGAGACTCCAGCACCAAAACGTTTACCCTCCCCACACACCTCAACTGTAAATTGGGCAGTTCTGTACCAAGAGTACCGGGGCACATGCCCGGGTTAGGGCCAGGATTTGTTATTCAGACAGCGCTTGCATGCAACAAGCGGGAATTTCGAACAAGACTTAAGTAAGCAATTTGTAGACGAGAGCATGCTGCCTGCCTGCAATCCTTCAGCGGGTCAACACCCATGAAGAAGCCTCCAAAGGTCCGCTACTTGCTCTTTGAGGTCCACCGTGATATCGAAGGCTCACACTGGGCAAAGGAGACGCTTCTGTCTGTGATTGAGATGTTGGATGCCATGGGATTCGACCCTCGCATTTCTTAAGTCCGGTTAGGGAGAAACTGGGTCAAGTGCGCTTTTAGCGTTGAGGACCAGGCCCGAGAAAAGCCTCAGGATTTGATTCTTCGCAGCTGTTCTTGAGGTCTGGCCCCCAAAGAGACTAGGCTCTATGGTCACGGTTTCGGGTTTCGGAGAAAGTTTGGGGTAGGAGCGACTCTTCCGCAAAAATCCTGGAGCTGCCCGTGAAACAATACTGTGACTCAGCTTAGTACAGTCTACAGATGCCCACATCCTTTAACACAGGGAAACAAGGCTAAACCCTAAGCGTTGGTGCTAATTCATGACATGGCTCGGCAAGGCATCTTAGCTGTTCATTGGAGCTCATCGCAAGTTTCGGCTGAGGTTCCAGGGTCCTGGATTCCCAAATTGGGCTGAAGGGTGCATCAACGGTCATCCTGTGGATCATATCCAGGTGAGCTATACCTAAACCCCAAAAGTAGGTAAAATAATAGCCCAAAACCTCTAAATATAGCCCAAAAGGCCATTATTCTACATACTTTTGGGGTGTAGGTAGTCTAAACTCCTCAAAGGGACTAGATAGGGGAGCATGATGGGGCTTACGAAGGGCGAGACTTGGACAGGAGTTGAGATTACAGTCCACGTGGAATTCCAGGCCCACTTAACAGTTCTCTCAGCGGAGCCAAGGACTGTTATTGGGCTGGCAAGGGCGGGTCAGTCTCGAGCGTGACCCAGTGCTACGAGTCGAAGTTCGAAAAAGCTGGCTGGGCCAACGTAGTCTGCGCAAAGCGCGGAGACGTTTGGTGGACCATCCTCGAAAAGCGAGATCCAAATTCGAGCTGACGCGGACAAAACTGTGAAGGACGCTATAATAGAATATTAGTAGTCGTAATAGAAATACTATTAATGGTAAGAGTAATTAATGGTCAATCCTGCATTGTCAAGAAATTGGATTCCCAGCTCACTGTGTTTAGATTTATGAATGCCGAGAGCCAGGATTTAAGCGCCTTGGTCAATAAGACACTGGCTTTAAGTGCGGAGCTTAGCAGGTCCACCTTCAAGCCCAATTTTATTGATACGGGCATACGTTGTAAGTTAAGATCTTCTGGATTACCTTATATTCTTGGAATACGAACGGAAATATTTGGGCATAAATATTACGGGAAAATGCGCGTGAAAAAAAAAGAGATATCATCATGATTGTCGTATATATTTTTCGCTCGTTAATGATCACTAGTGACCTCAAATAAGCCAATTTTTTTTTCTGATTATTTCGAATAAATCTTCTTATTATTTTATAAATAATTGACTCGCACCCAAAATTCAAAGACTTGCAATATCCTTCAAAATCTCTGAGCTGAAGCTAAGATGAATTATATCGATTAATATTGACTAATTTCATTTCGTAATGGTTGTCTAGAAAATAGTAAGAAATGGAGAGGTGATTACGAAATATAATGAGAGAATTTCGTGATGAATAAAGAATGAGTCGATGAGGTATTGATAATATTTAAGAGGAGGTATGAAACCTAAATATTCCGTATTTTGAGGAGAAGAAAGAAATCTCGTTATTCAAGAAAATTTCATTTCGTGGCCTTTTCGGAAGAATCGTTAGAAGAGACGGAGAATTAAATATATGATAATTTGGTCATATTTATCTTTAAATGAGAGAGCAAGAAGATTGGATACGGGAATCGTGCGAGCCGAAATCTCTCGAATATTATTTTTCTCTCTTCGATTATTGACGCGGCGAATCGGAATAGATTTATAAAATAGAGGAAACAAGCTTTCAGAATTTATTAGATGATTATCGACACGATTATTTGGAGAAGCGCGTAATACCGTAATAGAGATCTAATATTTTTCAGAATTCATAAGATGCTTATATCTAATCACTGAGATTTTTATCTTCGCCCGATTGCCCGTATGGGAGAGCTCGCCATCGAGAGAGCTGCGTGATTAAAAATTGCCTAAGATTTCGATTATTTTTTCTTTCTTTGATTATCTGTAGGCTTGGAGATGGAGATCTAAAATTCTTCAGAATCTATATGATATAGGCGATTTCGAAATATTGATAATTCATAGAAATTCATATCTGATCATATATATTCTTTGATGGTCTCGCCGATTTGAATTAAATGATCGCGGCGATATGATCTTTAGAGGAGATCCTACGTATAAGATATGATGATTCTGAATCTGAGGGGACGGGACCTGAGGCGAATAGATGATTAGAGATAGAATATTCTATTTTCTCATTATTTCTTCATTTCGTTTGAGGGTTTGTTATTTTATTTTTCCTTCTTTCGGCGTCTTCCTTCTCATCTAATTCGTGGCGGATATTGGCTTCACGATTAGAAGGCGGACATTGAATCTTTTTATAATTCTTCTTCCCTCAAACGAATATGAAGATTAGATTTCTTGGAAATCTTGAATAACGAGATTTCTTCTTTTTCGCTTCAAATAAGGGAAGCTGGCCTCTCGAATATGATATTAGGATTCATGCGAGATGAAGAAGGAGGATATATTGATTTTAGAATTTATGAAAAAGATAAATATTTAATAGAAAAGATTAATTAAGAATAATAGGATTCCAAGAATTTAGGTCATCTATTAAAGCTTAGCACTGTTCGCCGCGCTCAAAATCCAATATTTAGCTAAAATAACAGATGCCCCTATAGAGCCTATTCTAGCAAGACCGCATCTCGTATGAGAATATCAATATTATTTTATTCCTTTCTTAGATCTCTGGCGACGGATTTTAATCTATAACCGGGAGATCTATTAACGTATATCATTGCTTGCCAAATAATAATATGCGAGATAATTCCATTTCTTTTCTCTATAAAAATTAGAGTAGAGATCTTCTTTAATTCGGCAATCAATAATCTCAAATGAATCTGTATATTAAGGGATATTCTTGGTCGAGATAAGGATATCAATCCCATATCTCGAAATATATCAAGAAGGAGCTCATTTCATGCTCCTTCGTTTCAAGAAATATATAAAATATATTCTATATTCATTAAAATTCAAATCTCCTATATAATCTATCGTCTGTTTCCTCGACTCAAATATTCTTTAGGAGAGTATCTCCTCCCTTTTCAAGATTTCATATTTTTTTCAAATCGTAGACGCATATCCCAAATTGATTCCAACCGAATAATTATCCAAAGATTCTTCATTCCATATTCGAATTATATATCATCTAATAATTATGAAAGATTCAGATAATCGTAACACGGGGTCTCAAGTCAAAGTTCGTATCCGCCATTTGGAAGATACGCAGGCGAAAGAAATTAAGGCAAACTCATGTATTATCGTAGAAGAAGAAAGGACGCACGACGTCAGGTCCCCAGACCATGTATTAAAGCCCGCCACCACCCGCCGAACGTCCAGGGACCCAACATCCCGCGGAAACAAAAGAAACGAAGATGATGCACGAGTAATTTCTCAGTGAGA